CTTATTTTCTGCCGTTTCTGTTTTAATGCTGATCTGTCTTCCTCAAAAAATGCAGAAGAACATCTCCGTGGTTTTCCCATAAGTCGTCTGATTTTTCCCCATTCCACTCTTGTTAACTTTCTTGTTTTCAAATTAGGAAAAGATTCCTTTAGACATACACAGAAATCATTATCACCTTCAAAAAGTGGTCTGCAAAACAGAAATGGCATTTTATTGGTTATATAATGTGTTATATTCTTAAATGATATAAAATTAAAAGCATGCACTCCAATTTTCCTAATCATATTAATAACAAAATGCTTCTACCCCACTTATATACAAAATAGCCACAAATTAAAGTGCTAAAATTAAATCTTTGCACTTGTGAAACAACTAGTGTGTAAAAGTAATGCACTGCTTGAGATTCAAGAGATACTGATATCTGTTCAATCTCTTACATGGGAATATGTATGAGTCTATTCTCAGGGAGGGTGTCCTGGCCCTGGTATGACAGCTGACAAAGACAAACAAAATCTCTGTCTCAAAGGTAATACCACTACCAAGGACTCTTCTGGCATTAAACTAGTCTTAGAACACTAGAAAACTGTTGAGTGTTAGATTAGGCTTTGGGAATCTCAGAAGAACTCAACAGAGTAGGATACCCTGAAAGCTTTCATAAGTGTATGAAAAACCCATGCACAAAAATAAAATAATTCTATTCATGAGTTTGAGAAAACAGTCTTCAAAAGACATATAAAATAAATATCTTAGACTCAGATATGAATATCTGAGATACACAAGCTTTGGAGTAGGCAGTTGGTTTGGAAAATAGAAGGCAAGTAAAAATAAATATCTAGCAACCAAATACCAATGACAGCATATAAAGATGGATTAGAAATCAAAATCCAGGTGTGGTGGCATATGCCTGTAATCCCAATGCTGGGGAGACTGAGATAGGAGGATCACTATGAATACGAGCTGTGCAGTGAGACCTGCACTACATAAATAAACATATAAAATTAAAAAAAAAAAAGAAATCCAAACTTATACTCAGTAAATTCTATAGTCAAATAAATGGCTTCTAGAGCTGGAGAGATAGCTCAATGGCACAAGCGCCTGCCTAGCAAGTGTAAGGTCTTGAGTTCAATCTCTGGTACCTAAATAAATAAGTAAAAAAGGCTTCTAGCTAAATTTTTATAAATTTATAAAAAGGTAAATTATGCTTAAGTACTAACACCCTACTTAAACATTATGTACAGCTAAAGTACTTAACTACTATATGCAAAATGTAAAGAAGACTACCCTCCTAAAAATTTTCCTGAGTTGTTTTTAACATTACTTAAGTTTGAAATTACACTAGCACTTATGCTACCAATACTGAAATCTCACTCACCGCAAACAATGCTTGTCTTAGGATATCCCTACTGTCATTGTTAATTATAATACTGAAATTATATTTTCATTTAACTTTTTTTTTTTTTTTTTTGGCGGAACTGGGGATTGAACTCAGGTCCTTGCGTTTGCCAGGGAAGCGCTTATTCCACTGAGCCATCTCCCCGGCCCCTGTAGTTTCATTTTAACTTTTCACCATGTTGTATAACTTCTTTCCCAAAGAGGGGTAGTAAAGGTTAAAAATCTGTAAGAAATAGTTAAGAATCAGACTGAAATGAGGAACAGAAAACTGGATTCAACATTGGCCTGAGTGTGTACACCGTTAGCCCCACAACTCAGAACGATCACTTGAATCCAGGAGTTCAAGACTGGCCTAGACAACCCAGCCAGACTTATCTCCACACAAAGGAAAAAAAAAAAAGAAGAAAAAAGAAAAGATAAAGAAGAAAAGAGTGAAGTCAAGAAAAAGATGCAGCTTATAACATTTGAAAAACAAATTTTTGGTTCAAAGAATACTTAGGATATTAGCCACGATACATACTTATCTATATTTGAATAGAACCACTCATATATGCACCATTTATGTGCTTTCGGAAGCTTGAGTAGGTTCCGTAATCGAAAACCAATCTTCTGTGAAGCTTTCTTATCTGGTGTTGACATTGTTGGTGTAAATTTCTATATAATTAAAAAAACATTAATTACAGCTATATTAAGTAAAAATGAACATTTAAAACAATAAATACATTTATAAGAAGGTAAATTATGCTTAAGTACTAAACACCTTGCAGTGATATTCAACATGAAATTTTTGTTGTTTGGCAAACACCGTTCTAGTTATTTTTTACAGTTAAAGCCTCAAATTTCATAACGTATTCTGACAAAGAAAGTAAAATATTTGTCCATACTGGTTCAAACTGCAATATAATTTCAATTTAGGTATGTACGAAAACTTACACGAAACAATCCTAGACTTCGTGGGCTAGAAAAGACCAGAAAGAACTGCTGCACTGGCTCAGTGGTACAGCACTTGCCTGGCCTGCATGAGAGGTCCTGGGTTCAATCCACAGCATTGTAAAAACACACAAACCTGCTGCTATGAAGACAGAGAGAGGGAGTGTGCACACATGCAAGCAAGCACTAGACCCAAGGGTGAATTCTGTACCAAACTGGAGTACTCTAATGCTACTCAAACATTTTAAATCATTGAAGAAAAAGAAAAAACTTCCTAGTATTTTTATAAAGTCAGCATAACAGACACCAAAATCTGCCAAAGTATAATAAAACTTCAAAAAATATTCATGTGTATGGATTGCTAAAATCCTTAAAAATAAAAGGAAAACTAACCAGACAAGCACCATTAAAATATCAAAATAATACTATGCAAGCCAGTACAATTCATATCAAGGATGACCCAGTACTAGGAAATTATCAATGTAATTTGCATTAAGAAATCAAAATAATAAGTCTTCTGACCAATTCCAACAATACTAAAAGCATTTGAACAATACCCCCCAAACCCTCAAGAGGTTAAGGCAGGAGGATTCTAAGTTTGAGGCCAGCACAGATTATTTATTTATTTATTGTTTGTTTGTTTTTGGTACTGGGGATCGAACTCTGGACCTTGTGCTTACCAGGCAGGCACTGAAGCCACTGAGCTATCTCCCCAGCCCCCCTAGAACAGATAATTTAGCAAGACCCTGCCTCAAAATAAAAAAAATAAGGGCTGAAGAGTGTGCTCAGTGATAAAGTACTGTTCTTACTTAACATGTGCAAGGCCCTAGGTTCAAGTCCAAAGCCCTGTTCCCCTACCTCACCAAGAAAAAGAAATGACTGAGAAAAACACAAATTAATAGAAATGAAGCAACAGAGCTAATGTGCTTACAGGAAAATTTAAACTTTATGTACAACTTACATTAGCAAAGAATAAATATCTCAAATAAAAAACCTAACACTCTTAGTTCCTTTCTATTACCAATAACACTATACTATGGAGTGGGTGAATTATAAAGAAATTTATTCCCACTCACAGTTCTGTGGGTCTGAGAGGTCACACTTGGTAAGAACCTTGTGGTGGAGTCCTGAGGCAATACAGGCATCACACAGAGGGTAAGGGAGCATGTGGGTGGGTGCCAAACATGGGTCTGATCTTTCTCCCTCTGCTTATAAAGCCACCAGGAGGCTCAATCAGGAGGCTCCACACATGCCGTGTGTGTGTGTGTGTGTGTGTGTGTGTGTGTGTGTGTGTTACCAGAGATCGAACTCAGAATCTTGCATTTGCCAGGCAGGCATGACAACCCAGTCCTCCAATAGCCTTACATAATCCTAGTCACACCTTTCATGGTTTCACTCTCCTCATACCTCACAGCGAGGACTACAATTTCACAAGACAAGCTATAGGGCAGTGGTGGCTGAGCCTATGGTGCAAGTGCCCCACCAGTCGTTTGTGTCACTGAAAACTCTAAAAGGTTCTCTATTGCTGCCTTAGCAGATACTCAGGCCATATCGAAATCACAGCATTACCTTCTCACCTTAAGAACAGGTGAAACACAGATTGTAGCCTCACTTCATTCCTTACTCTAAAATAATTTAAGATTTAAACATTTTAAAAAATAAAATAAGGAAACATAAGAGAATTCTAAAACCATATAAATTTTAGACTAGGGAACTAGATCTTTCCGAGGATCACATTCAAATGAGTTTCTACATATTAGATTTTTATATATCAGATTTAAAGATAGATGTTTTGTTATATACTGAGTTGGCCAGCCTTTAGGAAAACCAGGACTCTTTGCTGCTTGAAAAGTGTAAACCAGTATACTTTCTTTGGGACAATAATTTGATACTGCTTTAAAAACTCCAAATGTATACACTCTATAATCCAGCAATTTCACCTTTTAGGTATCTGTCCTAGAAAAACACAAAAATATTCAAACACGCTTAGGATGTTTATTACGGCATTATGGTAAGAAAACTCAGCAACTATTTAAATGCCCCCAAATGGAAAATTTTATTTTATTTTACTTTTTTTTTTGTGGTACTGGGGATTGAATTCAGGACCCTGTGCTTATTCTACTGTGCTTATTCACTTATTCTACTGAGCTATCTCCCTGGGCCTGGAAAACTTTATAGTGATACTCTGTAAGTAAGTATTTTACCACAATAGAAATATTTGGGCTGGCCAGATAGCTCAGCAGACTAAAGTGCCTCTTTCAGCAGAGTGCAGTGGCTGGAGTTCGATCCCTGGCATGCCATGCTGGCCTCACCCCCGTGACACAATGAGATAGCCATTGAGACTGGGCGTGGTGGCACGCACCTGTAATCCCAGTGCTTGGGAAGCTGAAAACAGGAGAATCATTACGAGTCTGATATACACAGTGAGATCCTGTACACCCTGTCCTAAATTCATTAAAAATATAATTGTTTGCCTATCTTTATCTGTAACATGGCTAGATTTTTTTTAAAAAAAGGCTTTTGAATCAAAGAATAAAAACAGAATGATGCACAGTAGTTCTTCCCCTAATGTTAGTATTTTTCCCTAATCATGGTATATTTGTCAAAAGTGGTACAACACTATTAATTAGGCTTCATTTGGATTTCACCATTTTTTCATTAATATCCTTTTTCTGTCCAAATTCAGAATACCATATTATAATTAGAAAATTAAAATTTCAATGAAAAATTTAAAACTTGAGGCCAGGCATGGTGGAGTACTCCTGTAATCCCAGCACTCAGAGGCTGAACCTGGAAGAAGGCTACAAGTTCAAGACCAGCCTGCGCTAGTGAGCCCAACACCAGGCTGAATTGAAAAAAGAAAAAAAAAATTAAAGTTAAATTAAAAAAAATGTAAACAAGAGTTGTTTAGCATTAAATAACAACCAAGTAGCCAGGCATGGTGGCTCACACCTAGAATGCCAGCACTCAAGAGGTTGAGGCAGGAGGATAACTGAGTTTGAAGTCAGCTATCTGGGCTATAAATTCAAAGCCAGCCTGAATTATACAAAACCCTGGCTCAACAAAAGAAGAAAAAAAAGTTATCTTAAAAAGAAAATTGGGGGGAGGGGTGTCTTTATTTATTATTATTTTTTTAAATAATGTATTTGGTTGCTGTAGGATCTCACTATGCAGCTCAGACTGGTGGTGGTGATCCTCCTGCTTTCAGCCTCCGCAGCGCTGGGATTATAGGCATGTACCACTACAGCCCCCACTGGGGGTGGGGTTGGCCTACTTGCCTAAGCATGCACTTTAGTCTGCTGAGCTATTTTGTTAGCTCCATTGTGTGTGTGGGGGGGGTGTCTTTTTGAGACAGGGTTCTATTATATAGTTCAGGCTGGCTTTCAACTCACTTTATAACCTAGGCTGGTTTCAAACTTGCATCAATCCTCCTGCCTGAGCCTCTGGAAAGCTGGGATTGCAGGTATGTGCCATCATGCCCAGATATTCTTAAGATAGATAGATAGATAGATAGATAGATAGATACACACACACACACACACATTTTTTTTTAGGGAAGGGTCTACAGGGTGTTCAGGGTCTCACTACTAGATTGGACTTGTAGGGATCTACCTGTTTACAGCCTCCCAAGAGCTGGGATTACAGGCGTGCGTCACCACGCCCAGTCTCAACTGCCATCTCAACCCGCTCCCGGGAATTGAACCCCTTGCTTGCAGGCACTTTAACCTGCTGAGCTATTTAGCTGGCCCTCCTTAAGATATTTTTAACACAAAAAATGCCATGAGTTTTTTCTAGGTAGTGAACCACATTTTTAAATAGGGTATTGGGGGTGGGGGTTACAGTTCAGCAGCACAAGTGCCTGCCTGGCAAGTACAAGGGCCTAAATTCAATTCCTGGTACCCCTCTGATTTTAGGCTATTTCCCTCATTTGCATGAAGTCTTCAACATGATTCCCAATAGTTTAAACATTTTTCCTGCTCTTATTTCTATGCAAAACTCCCAACTGATTCCATATTACTCAATCTATTTGCTTAATGTCCACTACATTCCTTCTTACAGAAGTGACTGGTTTTCCTCTTTGGTTTAAAGTCAGCCAAAAAGAAAACCATGATGCTTTCTAGGTAATTAAAATGGAAGCCAGGGGCTGGTGAGATGGCTCAGTGGTCTCAAGCACCTACTTAGAACAAGCTTAGCAAAGCACAGGGACTGTGGTTCAATCCCCCAGCACCACATGCCAGCTAGCCCCGCCCCCTGGTGGGCTGAGCTGCCCCCCCCCACACAAATAAACAAATAAATAAATAAAATTTTGAAATGGAAGCCGAGCAACAGTACTTAAAGAAAATAACATTTTTTGTTTTGCTTTTTTTTTTGCGGTACTGGGGATTGAACTCAGGACCCTGCACTTGCCAGGCAAGCACTTATTCTACTGTGCTATCTCCCCAGCCCTGAAAAGAACTTATTTTATTTCATTAGTAATATTTTTGGGGGGCCGGGGAGATGGCGCCCCCAAAATATATATATATATATATTTTTTTTTTTTTTTAATTTTAGAGAAGGGTCTACAGGGTGTCCAGGGTCTCACTACTAGATAGGTAATCCACCTGTTTACAGCCTCTCAAGGGCTGGGATTATAGGCGTGCACCACCTCCCAATATTTTCTTGAGACAGGGTCTCATTGTGCAGTTCAGGCTGGCCTTATGCTTACTTTGTATCCCCCAGGGTGGTCTTGAACTCCAGCAATCCTGTCTCAACTTCCAGAATGCTGGGATTACAGGCATGTGCCACCACACCCAGTTAGAAAAGAACTTTTTACACATGCAAAAAAATGCCAACTTTATCATGTTGGTTACTTTTCATATGAAACAAAAGTTCAACACACACATACCTGTGGAACCATTGCAACTCTCTGGTTTCTTTTAGGTGACTTTGTATTTATTTGTCTGTCCTCTTCATCAGAAAAGAGTCGACTTCGCTTTGAATTTCTAAAAGGCTGATAGAAATTTTTTAATTAAAAAGAAATTAAATTTATTCTTGTTTTTGTCCTAAGTACAATTTTATCTTTGTAAAATACAATTGTGGATTATCATCAAACACAAAGTAAAAAATAAATAATCTTAGATAAGATGATAACAGGGCTGGCCTGGGACAAAGGCATTAAATTACTCCAG